GCGGCGTCCCCGTGGCGCACCGAGGCCACCCCAGGGTCACCGCGGCCGGGGCGGGCGCGGGCGCGGGCGCGATACTGTTCTTCCCCTGACAGACCAGGTGTAGACCCGCCCCCCACCCAACAGGACCCCAGCCCGGTTGATGCTCGTGGGGGTGGCGATGGGGTGGGGGTGGGGCCCCCGAGGGCCATGCGCCCAAGGTGTGGCGGGTCCCGATGCTGGGGCCTCGGGTCTATGCGGAAACTCAGATGTGACAGAAAAGCAGAAGAGAGGAAGCCAGGAGACCCCAGCGTGGGGCAAGAAGGAAGGGATGTGCGTGCGCCGTGCAGACCGGAGACGGGTGGCCTCGGAAACCTGCGCAGCCCTCCAAGGCAGAGAAATCAAGAGCCCCAGCCCTCACCTTCCCTCGGCCCCTGGTCACCTCTCATCTTTCCCCATCTCAGGATGCGGCTGGGCCGCCGGGCCCTCTATGCGCTAGTTCTTCTGCTCGCCTGCGCCTCGCTGGGGCTCCTCTACGCCAGCACCAGAGACGCGCCCAGGCTCCCGAACCCTCTGGCGCTGTGGTCGCCCCCACAAGGTCCCCCGAAGCCCGATCTGCTAGATCTTGCCCCTGAACCCCGCTACGCACACATCCCGGTCAGGATCAAGGAGCAAGTAGTGGGGTGAGTGCTGACCCGGGCGAGGTGGTGACAGAGCACAGCATGCCGGGGTGGGGGTGCCTGGAGCTTTTGTTTCCTCCAGTACTGGGCTCAGGGTCCAGCTGCTTTGCGCTGACTGGTGGGTGCAGTAAGCGGGAGGTGGAGAGGGTGGCCGAGGCTTAAACTGGGGGGGGGGGGGGCGAGACGGCAAATCTATCCTGAACCTTGTCACCACCACTGGGGTGTGGGAGGAGGCGTGCAGGCATCGGAGCACCCAGCGACGGCCGGCTTCTTGATTTAGACTTGAGATTACCGAAGGGTTCCTGAGTGGCGGCTAGGTAGACAGCCCAGGAACTGGCCCTACTCCACACCTCTCTAAAGCCCGGATACACGGGATGAGCTGTCTGGTCTGTGGTCCCCTCTTGGGGGCTATTTGAAGAGCAGTGTTTAAGGGGGAAAGATACCAGATGGGAAGAGTTGAGGGATCCAAGTGTGGGGGTGCTATGCGTTCTGTGAGGTCAAGGGAGCTGGGCACGGAACTCTGAAGACCCTTTCTCCTCCCTTCAGGCAGCTGACTCAGAATAACTGCAGTTGTGAAGCTAGGGGAGGGAGCTTTGCCTTCCCGTTCCAGAGACAGGTTCGAGTCATTGACCTCACTAAAGCCTTTGACGCTGAGGAGCTGAAGGCTGTTTCTGTCTCCAGGGAGCAGGAATACCAGGCCTTCCTTGCAAGGTACCAGTGAGACCTTC